GACTAGAAATTTATCGAACGCGTGTTGTTAGGTAGTACGAAAATATCCACTGTCCCCCACCGCCGTGTTAGACTTTTCTTCGTCTTTTTTGTTACATTTTTATTTCTACTTCCAAGACTTTGCCGGATATGGCCTATTTTTCACGTGCTTCAAAAATCTTAATCCAGTAATGCAAAATTGCTAATACCAGAGCATCTTTCATGTAGCGACCTTTAGCACTTCACCATTTCACAATTAAAATTTGAAATGATTAAGAACTACTTTGGAAATACTTTCGACATGTTTTAAAATTTTAATGTATGTAGCCGCATTGCGATTTTAATGACTGTAACATGTACCTAAAACATTAATGTAGAAATTGAGTGTTTAAATTATTGGACTTTATGTCAATATCTTCATTAATACAACCTTCAAAATGGGAAACCAAAGCCATCATCAAGGGTATTTGAAGGCATTAAAATGTGCCCGGTCTTACCATCGTCTAACAGGTTTGGCTATAATATATAGACTAGCGTCGATTTGTTAGAAAAGTATTGCAAAAATTGACTTGCAAAATAAATTGTGCGGTGGCTTAGTACAACAAGCCTATAAATTAGATTTGTTACGCCTCGCCACCAAAACTCATAGCAGAGGTAATGCTATAATTCACGTGGAGACATTGAGTCAGATATGACAAAATCAATAAAGACCCAAATGATCAAGGTAAAGAAGTTAAAGAAGAAGACGATCTCCATTGTTCCTAGGCTTTTATGTGGCCGAAGCCATGTCTTAATCCGAAGCTCTCCTTAGTCGAAGCACCCTCCTCATCTAAAATTCTCTTTTAGGCTGAAGCACCTGCTATCTTTTAAATGATCAGCATTATGAATGATTGATATAATGCTTATGTTAATGAATGTCAGGATTGTCAGCTTAGGAAGTAGGACGGCAAACCCGTTGTCAATTCATTAAATACATAGCATACAGAGTGATGTGATGTTTCAACCTGGGAGATGAGGACGTAGTTCTAATCCAACAGCTACCACATCGTTCAGAACTCTATAAATAAACAACTCTTATAATTTGTATGGAATAATGCAACTCTTTACACTCAAAAAAATATCTAGCTTTCTCTTACTCATTCCATATTTATTTGCTTGAGTTAAGTGCTTTTTACTTTGGTGAAGTTTGTTTGTGATTGTTTACTTGTTTGCAATCGTCTTTGATTATATTGTCGATACTTGAACGTTTTTGTCTCGCGTTGTAAAGCATCTCTCACGTCTATAAATGCCACTCTTCTTTCTCCGGATCTTCGGTTAAAACGTGTTGAAATTTATTTGCGTGGATTCGAGCAGACCCAACATCTATTGTCCACGTGATTATCACAAACAATGGCGCCACCAAGATTCACGGAAGGAATAATGATAACATAACATAATTCAATTTAAACATCTGAGTACACTATAACAATTACGTTACAGTATGAAAAATATAGTCAAACGATGCCATATCAATGTCTAATTTCAAGAGGACAAAATCTTCTAAATATTGTGAAATATGGTTGAATAATTTGTAGTGCCCAGGATTTAGTTAAAATTACGTACTCTACAGAAATGGACCGACCATTATTAGGTGTCATGTTCGGAAGTTTGTAGCCGAAGTTTAATAATGTGGCTTAATAATTATTAATCATTTAGTATTATCCTTTGAAAAGGTTAACGAAACCCCCTCGAGATTTCGCTATCACGTGAGGTATGGCTCGTCCCACCGTACATTTCCTTTTTAGTGGGAATATTTCCTGAATTTATAAAGTTTAATAATACTAAATTAATTGGTTGTACCTTTTATATATATTCCTATAGAACAGGGGCTAATCTTTATGTCTTGGAATGTACGAGATATGGATAACAATAAAAATGCTAAATGGACAGGGTCATTGACCGATCAAAAAACAGGGCACCATCTCGACCCATGATTTTTACTGTTGAAAATCAGATTAAGAATAGAGATGAAGCCACCTCGACCCCCTATTTTTGGATCGATCCCGACCCTGTTACTGTAGCGCTCTCGGGTAACAATTAAGAAAATGTGAGATTTGATGGGTTAATCTTATGGGATTTCCAGTGCTGCAACACAGGTTGCAAGACGCACGTGTCTCCTGTTACTTGGTCTGAAGCACGTGATAAAGTTCTCCTTGCATGTGCTCAAACGGTTCAAGAAAAATGGTGATATGGGGCGCGATTGTTCGTCGGCAGCTGTCCTAATGAAACGCTTATAAAAGCGTTAAAATGCGATTTCCCATATCCCGCTTTTTCCTTACTTCTTCTTCTATTTTATTTTATTTTTTTGCCTTCCTTAAGATAACGGTTAGACCACGCCTTGGACATTTGTCACGTTTCATTCAGATACGTATCTTTAATGGTCGATTTTTATAATAATCATTGAGGTCGAAATTATATTTGTTATGTCTCGCTTATGAAACGGATTACGTGGCAAATAGTTAATCAAAAAGTAAACAATAGATCACATAAGGTCAAAACTCCATTTCACATCGAGACAATAAGGACATGACATTCAGCCATTGGACATCTCGCTCGAAATGATGTCATCCTATTGATGAGCATCTTCCCAAGTCTCGCCTCAACCACGCGTAACAACGTAGTTCATTTGACAACTTTTCAACCTATGTATTTCAGTTTTCAGTCTAAGTTCAAGCTATGGGGGCCACAAGCCTAGGATAGCTAAAGATTGACACGATTGAGACAGGATACGATTGAATCGTGTTCGACCTTCCTCGCCTCGCTAAAGATAGAACAAGGATGAGCCGAAAAGATCTGTAGAAAGAGACGACGAAGACGACAATCTTCCTTTTTTCGATGGAACTCGACTAGTGAGCCGTTGGGATGAGATCACGTATCAAGTATTCATTGGACCTCTGCCAATCTCTCTTGACTATAAATATTCATACATGACATTCAAAAGTAATACAAGATTACACTATTAATCTTGGTAATTCTCTCTTCAATCGAGGATTCGTTATCTAACTTCGGTGTCAAAGTGTGTAGGTAACATATCCGTGAATGTGAGAGAAGTTGAAATCTATTGGCAAGTAAACTCCGTTGAATCTAAAGGTCAACATAACTAATACAATATTCAGTTAGGAAAACATTCTCGACTTTTGTTCGACGATTTAAAACTGTCTATTTTACTTTTGTATTAACTTAATGGTCATAACTAGGTTTAAAAATGGAGACACAATCAGTTTTGTGGAATGGACTATAAGAATTCTAATCTTTATTCTCTCTCATTTTCTTTGGGGCCGAGTTGTGATGTCTGAAGTTGCAAAGGCAGAATCTATAACCTAACACAAATTTTTAATATTATCATATATCATTCTCGTTATTGAACTCTATTTTGTCAAAATTAGATTATTTAAAATTAAGTTGTCAACATTTACTTGGTAATTTCGGTTTATTAAACTATCACACTTGAATTGAATTGAATAAAGTTATAAATTTAGAGACGAAATGCAATTTTGCTATTGATATTAAGACCCGGTTAAAATTTTAATCTAAATCAAAATTAACAATTAATTTTAACCACATATTTTATGCGTTCCACGACCTTTTTCAACCACACATTTCATCATTTTTTTTTATTAGAATCTTCTAAAATTTGATTTTAATCGCCACTAAACAACGGCTAAGTGAAAATGTATGTTAAAGTCTTAGACTCATTACTAGGGGAAGTGGTATTTGTTGACTTCATGCCCAAAAGTAAAGATTTTATTACTAGTGATTTTCTAATTTTTGCTAATAATATTATTTGTACATTTTGATGTTTTCAATTATAATAAATGACTTTTTTTCCTTCATTCTTTTTTTTTTCTCTCTCCCTCTCTCTCTTTTGTGTGTTATCACTTTATACACCAATCCGTATACAATAATATATAAGTAAAATTATATATTTATATGAACTAGATAATAATAGACGGAAGTGTTACAGTGCACGTGTTTACGGAGATATGAGCAAGAAGAGTTTGATGAAAAGTCAGATGGTCAAGACAACCAATAGATGGAACAATTCTGCTATACTGTTAGGGAGGATTCGACACCCTCCAGATAGACCCCTCACAATAGGGTGAGAATTTTTTGGCCTCCCACTCATGTGAGTAAGCAATGGTGACATTTTATTTTTCTAGTAAAGAAGTTTAATTCTAAATAGAAAGAGATCAAGTAAATAAATGTTAAAACACGATATCATGTGATCTTCAGGCTATTCACATCCAACTTAGCTCAAAAGAATGATATAATTGATTTGTGTTATCAAATCCTATAACACAAACGTGATTGCAGAATAATAGAAGATCAAAATCCAAATACGAATTGTATCGTGCCACACAAAAAGTAGAAAACCTTCACGTGATGCCCTCAATACATATCATCCATCGACTTTTCTATGATCGCTTTTGGGTTCTACCTAATCTTTTCTACAGGGATTTCGATTGAACACACTAATTCGTATTGTCTTGTAAGTTCTCAATTAATAGATAAATCATAGGTTGATACGAAAAATTTCTAATGAATTTTTTATGTTAATAAAACTGATTGATTGATAATGAATTAAAGATTGATCATTGAAATACATTTCATAATTCAAAAGAAGCTCTCATTTATCAGAACTATACAATTACCGTAGGAATGAATAATAGCGAAATTCCCGTGAAATGAGATATTCAAAAAGAAAGGAGAGGCAGAAAAGACAAAAGTGTAAGTAAGTGCAGTGCAGAGTTTGCGTGTCAGTTTTCCAGCTGTATCCCAAAATGAAATCCCACAAACTACTCCCTTTTGTTTCCTTTAAGCGGTGCGTTGCCCTTCCAACACCTCATTCTATCTCCTTCCCCACACCCATGTATATATTACACACTCTTCGTCTTCTTCTCTAGTTCTAGTTCTAGTTCTAGTTTCATTTTTGATGTTTTGGTAAAAATGGCGATGACAAATACAACCACTCTTTGTAAGAAAATGGATATGGATCGGATCAAGGGTCCATGGAGTCCTGAAGAGGACGAACTTTTACAGCAGCTGGTGCAATGCCATGGACCCAGAAACTGGTCCTTGATTAGCAAGTCCATACCCGGGAGATCAGGGAAAAGTTGTCGGTTGAGGTGGTGCAACCAGCTTTCGCCTCAGGTGCAGCACCGAGCCTTTACGTCGGAGGAGGACCAGACGATCATCCAGGCCCATGCTAAGTTTGGTAACAAATGGGCCACCATAGCCCGCCTCCTTTCTGGTCGGACTGATAACGCGATCAAGAATCACTGGAACTCGACCTTGAAAAGGAAGTGCTCTTCTATGAGTTCTGATGAAGGGAATAATGAGTTTATGAATTATAACCAGAAGCCTTTGAAGAGATCCGTGAGTGCCGGGTCGGGTGTTCACGTCTACTTGAATCCTGGTAGTCCATCCGGGTCGGATGCCAGTGAGTCAAGTTTGCCGGTAATGTCGGCTTCTCGTGTTTTTAAACCGGTGGCTAGAGCCGGCATCGCTTTCCCGTCTCCGGTTGAGACCGGGTCATCGAGCAACGATCCTCCGACTTCTCTAAGCCTGTCGCTTCCTGGAGTTGACTCGTTACGGTCACCGAATTCCAAGGCCGAGTCAACTCAGTCAAAAAGTTCCCTCCAGCTTCTCTCAGTCCTACCACCGCCTCCGCCTTCACCTGCTCCAGCAGCACTGCCACAGGCTAAAGCTGCTACTGCAATCCAACTGCAAATTCCAACTAATCAAAAGACGGCATTTGGATCAATTTCTAAGGCGGCACCACCATCACCACTGGTGCAGATTCAACAACAGCAAGATAAGGTTTTTGTGCCTTTTACAGCAGAGTTGATGTCTGTGATGCAGGGCATGATAAGAACAGAGGTTAGAAATTACATGATGGGGCTAGAACAGCAGCAGCTGCAGCAGCAGCAATATTTCCAACATCAATTTCAGCAGCAACAGTATCAACAGATTGGGATGTGCATGCAGCAAGCAAATGCAAATGCAGATGAAGGATTTAGGAATGCAGCCATGAATCGCATTGGAATCAGTAGAATTGATTAATTTAGTTTTGGAGAGGAGAAAGAAACCATCTTAGTTTCTTATTAGTGAATATTTCCAGAAAATAATTTTGGTTAGTGTACAGTAAGAAGATAAAAGACGGGTGGAAAAATAGTTGTTAAAAGAAGCGAGGAAGCAGAAAGTTTGGATCTTTTCTATCCGTTCCATTCTGAGAAATGTCTTAAGGAAAATGAAAGCCAAAAACAAAAATAAAAAATCAATCAAGTTCCCTTTTTTTTTTTTGTTACAATTAACAGAATTAAAGTTGGTTTTGTTTTCCCAAGATTACAGTAGTGCTATGTGTTATTGGTGACAGATTTTAAGATTATTCCTATTCCTATTCGTTTGCATAGGGCACTGTTGGTTTCTTGTTCGAAGTTTGACAATTCAGAAATAGAAGGTAGCTGTGATTGATAGGAACGGACAGATATTTCAAGACAAAATTGAAGGAAAAGGGATCATCATGGATAGGGAAATTTACAAAAATGACCAATTTCAAGTTTGTCAATTGAAAAGTGTGTTTTGATAATTCTTGTAAAAATGGTCAAATTTGATATTAAATTGTCTATACTCTATTATACTCTCATTGAAAAACGAAACAATTTTTTGTTAAATTTATCACAAATTTCTAGAAGAACAAGTAGCTTCCATGAGAAGTTACATTAATACTAACTAATATCTAATGGATTTATTTGCTTTTATTATCTATTGGGTATTGACCAAAAATTTTGGGAAAAAATGAAGAAGATGAAGTAGAAAAGTTAATAACACGAAAAAATAATTATATGTTTCCAATTCATCTGCATTTGTAGTTGATTAGGCTTTCCACAATTCTCGGTAGAAGGCAAATTTTTTTTTTAAAATCTTATTTTTGCTGATAAGTTGTGTTTAATAATTATTATTCTTGACATTTCATAACGTTCTCGATATTGCTCTTATCGACATTTGGACCCTGTTTATTTTCACATTTGACACTTCATTTGTTTAGAATGAAATTTTGTTCTCAACATGAGAGTTTTATACATTTTATAATGTTCTTGACACTTTAAGTGTACTCATCGACATTTCATAAATGTTTTATTTACTTACTTATAGGGAGAAGTGATCATTTAATGCATGATTGACATGATATTTTTTAAAATAAGTAGTGTAAATTATATGTCAAATTATTATTGGTCACTATAATTTTTAATCATGCAAATACTTGAGTTTTGCTTGGAGTACATAGAAGCTAACATAGGGGTTGACATAATACTCACATGAGGTGGGGCCCGCTTTTAAAATGGGTCCCACCCCATGTGAGTATTATGTGTATCATTATGTAAAAAAATTATGTACAAGTAACATTTTTGTAGAAGAAATTTTGGACATTTTTCAAATGACTGTAAAACAGTAAAAGTGAAGATTTTTTGCAATTTCCTCTTATGGATAAATCTAGATTCTGGACTGGAGTGGACTGTTATGAAGAATGACAGGCAGATGAATCAGTGGTCAGCTTCCATTAAAATGGGGCATCTTTCAAACTACATCGATTGTCGGCATTCCGTTTATAACCCATGTTAAAAGAAAATTGGGGATTCCTGTCCCCACTGAAAATGATGAAATGATTCATTTGAACTTAATTATCGAGAATATAACCAAACGTAAAAAATACAATTCATTCCAAGTTCAAATTTGACTTCTAAAGTGGAAGCTTCAACAAGAAAACAGATATTTAAAGGCATTTTACAGGTGGCATAAATACATTAGCCTGCCAACCTCAAAACTTTTAACAAGGAACTTCAATGCATTGTGGTATACTCGATGAGAATTCAACCCAATCTATTCACCACTGCAAGGACCCGAAACCACCGAAATATGACGGAAAATGGTGTAATTACAACCCTGCAGCTTGGATGGTGCGACGGGTTTTGAATTCAAATAGTGATTTTAATTTTTCAGCTAGTGTCTGAATATCGTGCCTCCAAGACCATGTTGGGGCATGTAAAGCCCGGATTGAATTCAGACAAACAAGAAGGGTACCACCTTCGTGTAAAAGGACCTGCATGTTAAAGGTAAATAAAGATAAGATTATGTATTGACCTTGAGTACAATGTAAATCGACACGAATATTAACATAGGTAAACATTGCACTTCAGTCACTAATATTTTATGCAGTTAGTTAGCTGACACAATTCATAACACATTTTCTTTGACACCAGACGAAAAATCGCAACAGCTTAAATTAATGAAAATTGAAGCATGTGAATGCAAAATAAAGTTCTTAGATAAATATACCGTTAACCAGAGAGGGAGAAACCCCAAAACAGATGTAAGAGATGCCAGAACAATGCTAGATAATGCAAGGGCCACGTTTTGCTTAACCTGCACATGAAGAGCATTAATATTTATAATAAATTGGATAGTACAAAAGATATACACGCGTGAAAACTAAGAAAAGGAAAATGAAATACCAAAGAAGTCGTTTGCCAAGATTTAGCAACACAAAATGGAACCCCCAAAATATTGTTCTGCAGCAACATCACATCTGCAACAGCTATAGCAGTTGCACTGGCACGTTCAGCTAGAACAACACCCACAGTGGCAGCCGCCAGGGCAGGTGCATCATTGATACCATCACCTACCATTATGAGGCCCCCCCCTGCCCAAAATTTCAAAAGATGAAGATCATTATGAATTCTATATGTATTCTTCCGTGTTGCTTGTAATCAGCAGTTGATATGCATGGTTAAATCTACATAAGACATCAATTTATGTCCAGCTAAAAGAAGATAGTATGATGGAACAATGTAATTCTCAAGTATATTTACGAACATCGATAATAAGGATCTATTCATTGGTGATATATTTCAGGAAGAGGTCTCAGTCGCACAAATGGAATATGCTGTGGCATAGATACTAAATGAAAGAAGGCGAAGTCTTTAACTTAGGGTATGAAAAAAACTGCACTATTCATTATTAGTAATAAGTTCCATTTTAAAAGATTAACCTTGTTAAGAGGAGTAACCTGAGCCCTTCTGGGAAATTACCCTTACCAATCCCCTGCAAGATGATGTCTCTTTTGATCACACCAATCAAATCATGGAATCCTGATGCTCGTTTGAGCTTTAAACGGATTGAATTGCTCGTTTGAGCTTATTGGGCTTTGATACCGTACTAGGACATATAATTTCATTTTAAAAGCCTAACCTTGTTAAAAGGAGTACCCCAAGTACTCATATGTTGTATTTTAGTTTCACCTTTATTTGAGATAGGATACCATTAACATTCCTCCTGTCTCGTAAGAGAGAAAATCAATCGAATATTGTAAGGAGATTTACTGTCACCAATGAAAACACCATCATTTCCAGAAAAAGGAGTTGTCAGGTCCTTGCTATCAATGAGATTGAATAAGATCACAGAGATCGTTAAAAATTGAATAAGATTTCGAAAATCATCGAAAATTACGATTATATTATTATAATTGTATTAGATATAGATAAATTATTTTTACCATTAATTAATATTGTAATTGATTGTTTCCATATTTAGTTGTTATTTTAGTACTATTTAATAAGAGAACCTCTCATAAAGAGGAGCATTGAGTATTTTATTGAGTACATTTGACATGGTATCAGAGCCAATCCTTAGATTTTTCTCTTGTTTTCTTGGTTAGGTTTTCTCAAGGCGGGAGGAACTTTTTTTGCTCCTCCCGTCTGGTCTTCGTCAAATCAATTGTTACTTTTTCTGTTCATGTTCCTTTTAACGTATTGAGAAAATAATTCAAAATCAGCATTTTTTTTATTCTAAAAATTTACCAAAAAAATAAAAAATAAAAAAAAATCTGTCTATGAGTTTTTTGGTGTGGATGTTGTGTGGGATTTCTTCCACTTACAGTATCTGGAGTTTTGGCCGATGTTTTGGCATTAGAGCTTTTGTTGGAATACGAATTATGTGTTCGACTAAGTTCTCCCGACAGATAGAGCTCACTGTGTGTGTCGGCACACTTTATGAATTTCTTTTGGAAATTCTTCTTGGGGGAGTGAATTCTCGTAGTATCTTTGGAGTGTTCTTGAAGTGACTTTGGAGTAGTTCTTTGTTTCGGAGATCGTCAAAGACTACGATTATATTATTATAATTGTATTAGATATAGATAGATTGTTTTTACCATTAATTAATATTGTAATTGATTACTTCCATACTTAGTTGTTATTTTAGTCCTATTTAATGAGAGAACCTCTCATAAAGAGGGGTATCGAGTCTTTTATTGAGTATATTTGACACTTGCTAGGCATGATGAGGGATCATAAACTTGAATACAAGTATTGTTACTAATAACATGGTGGAGGGAGCAAGAAAAATTGAAGGTTAACTCTTTTAGGGACTGAATATGATGGATATTTGCACCTGTATCTCTGGAGATACTTGTAACGTGATAGAGTTTATCCTCAGGCTTTAGGCTGCAGTGAACTTCTTTGATACCCACAGCATTTGCCACTCTCCATGCGCTTGACTCATGGTCACCAGTCAACATCATGACACGGAGCTTTCCATCATATTGCAATGCCTTTATGACATCTGAAGCACAATGTCGAGGCTTATCTTCAAAATGGAATAGAGTTACCTGCATTTCAAATATAAAAATAAAGTTCACGAGTGCCAGTTTTTACTCACGCTAGAATCTAAAGATAATGTAGTAGATTAAGGGGCTATTGGATTCAAAAGGCCTTGAGCATTTAGTTGACAAGAATGTCAATACGACAGTACTATTTTGTTATCTTCATTGATTCCCAGGTTTTAGGTAGGAAATTTGAGTGCTGGAAACTAGGCCAGCTTTTATTACTTTCAAATTCATGGAATTACGTATTAATAAAAACAATGAGAAAAAACAATGAGAACAAACCATTTGCTCAAAATACAGTAGAAACCACGACCGATGATGTCTGAATGCAAAATCTTTGCTTCGATCATATCCCACTAGTCTCATTTGTATGTTACGCTCATCACTTTTTGTTGAAAACAAGGATTAAGCCCATGTTTGGCACCTATTCTCATCTTTTTCATTTCAACCACACATTCTCCCAATAAAATAATATTACACACAAATCTAAAACTTTTCCATCACATATTCTCCCATCAATCACTATTCTAAAAATTTTATTCTCCAAAAAATAGGTGTCAAACACCGTCTAAATGATATATACATGTGCCCCTCCAACAGCCAGCTTAACTTTTAGATCAAGTAATTCAACAGGGCATTGAAAGAAGCAAAGGTCCTAGGTTCAAGTCTCACAAAAACTTATAATCTAGTGGTTAAAACACTTTCGCTGAATTCCAGGCTAGCATTCTACTTTTCTCTGTTCACTGAACATGTTGTTCCCAACATATTAATTTTGGTAAGTTGTTATACCTCTACTCTAACTTCGAATTTATCTTCACCTCCACCTAGAGAAACATATTTACTTATTTAAAACAGTGCAATGTTAATCAGCATCACATTCACAAGTTGTTAACCTCTTTAACGATATATCAGCAAGTTAAGAGGTTTCAAATCAAAAGGATATACAAAATTAAAAAAAAAAAATGATTAAAAGAAAAAGGGAAGAATCACTAGATTATAAGTTGACCATAATTTGACAACTGCAGATCTAAGTGTGCATCTCCATGACTCTCATCATATTTATTGCAAGTACTTTGTACAAAATAGTAAAACTGAACAAGATTTTTGCCTTTCTCAAAATTAATCTGGTAAAAAGAAAAAAGAAGGAAAGTTCACCTTTTTGTTATTAACCGAGAGAGCAGCACGAACAAAGTCCTCTCCATAAGAAGAAGTGCTAACAGCCTCCTTAATCTTTTTGGATTCATCATCAGACTGAAGAAGTGATGTGATATAATCCACAGAACCAAGTGAAGCTTTCAATGGCTTACCATCTCCAAGTCCTGGCTATAGTGAATTGAAAATTATTGTAGACTTAATTCGACTGTCATTACTTACAAAACAATCCAGAAATAAGATATACAAGAAACGGTTAAACAAAGCATATCCACTCCACTTTTTTCTAGACGCACATGTAAGTTGATTAACCCATCAAAACCTTGGATCGAACTAATTAGAGTGGTCACAAAAGCAAAGGAACACATGAGACAGCCTAGTCCCCACATACTAGATATGATAGACACTGGGCAGAACTGTGTATTTGGAAAAGATAGTGCCCAACACAAAACCAAACTAGATAAATGGAAAACAAATTTATTAACGACATAACATGTCATTATCTCACCGAATTCACAAGAAGAACCCCCAAATATGCCAACACGTCATATATCCAATCGGTTGTGCAAGAATAGGCCGCGTAGGCTTTCTAAACAGTAAAATAATCATGATATTGAAAGAACCATATGACACCATGAAAAAAACCATACGTATCATAGTCACCTATATTAAAATCAACTAACAGAGAATTTCGACGACAACACACAGCACCACTTAAATTGTAGAGGAATCTCATTAAGGGATCCTATTGCTTGAAAACTAACCACAGGAAAAGATTAGAGAACAGTGTATCTCTAAGGCATTAATGAACTCAACGAGCCTGAACACAGTTTTTTAGCAACATAAGAAATCAAGCTTTCTTATGAATACACTGAAGTTGACATGTTATTCTCTCTTTATGGAATCACACAACAAGCTACAAAGAGGTCTTCCTTCAAAAGTGGACCTCCTCAATCTTATTGGAACCAAAGATGAAGATTTCTTAATTAGCTAGACGAGCAATAGGACCAAAAAAAGTAGAAAGCCCAAAAATTGGTTACACAATAAGAGAATGGCAGGTGATTGGTTGAAAAATGGATTTGATAGGCCAGATACAGAAAGAGGCAGTCACTTCCAACATCAGCTCAGCTACGTGAAGCGTAGCACACTTGGTTCTCCTTACCAGCTTATTAGTTCGTAAAAAGGGCGAATAGTCTAGGAAATATTCTAGAATAAATTCAAAGCCAAAACAATAGGGTGTAAATGTGTATGTGGGGTGCTCTGGTGTTTATTCTTTCATGTAATTGCAGTGAAAAGTGAAGGAGAGAGAGAGACCACTTGAATGCCTATTATTTCTATAATTCATTTCATTTTATAAATCAATAGTTCAATACACCCAGGTCAATCACAGTTTTCCTTATTTTTACATCAATGCAATAACAGCTCTTCTAGTTTCCTGTTATAATTGATTGGGAATCTACCAGAATTTCAATCTAAAACTAATTGTCCCCAAGTGAAGAGGCTGTCAGGATCACATACTAGTAGTTAGTGGTCTTAAAACAGGTATCTAGTCTAGTTATATAAAATCTAGTACCTCAATGCAAGAAATTGTTGCAAAAAGACCCCTGCCAGGCAAGTTTTCAAAACTTTCAACAGAAACAGAAGGGAGATCTTTTCCCGTGCTATGATCTACAACAGCTCTGTACCAACAAAGAAGATGTAAATTCAATTATAAAAATTGTCCAGAGTGGCACCACGCTTGAGCACAAACATGTAAAAATCCAGTGCAAGGAATTTCAACTGATCCATGAATTCCCTAAAAACGCAACAAAAATCCGGCAGAGACATGACCACGAAAATGTCAGTAAACTATTAACCAATGTACACAAAAGCTGCCCCTTCTCTCTTTTTCATTTTTATTGTCCTTTTCCAGTTCTTATTCTTCTGAAGCAAATTTTATCACTGGTACCCAGTCTAATTGATTTATTAGAAGAATGTGGTGGTCATGTCAGGTGGTAGGTCTGTAGGCTTTAATTTGCAATACCAAGTGAAGGTGATACAGTATTAAAATATTATCAAAATTCATCTCGTGCATCTATTCCATTTCTTCTCAAAATAATATGTACTGTATTCTTATGGAAATAATTATTTGAAACAAAAAAAAAACCAACCTTTTCAACCGTAAACAGAGAGGAAAGCAGCAATAACGGTCATCTATCCAAGTTAAAACTTAAAGCAGTTACTAAGTCTAGGTTTGAGCTCCATTCTTTAAAAATTCATTTTCCCCCAAACTAATGTTTCACCACATATTCTCCGAATAAAATAATTTACACTTCAACCCAAATTTTTCCCTCACTTTTTAACCACACATTCTCCAAAAAATAACTATTATAAAATCTATTTTTCCAAAAGATGGGGCTCAAACAAACTCTAAAACAACTGGACAAGTCTTCAGCTTCAAGTTTGTATATATAGACTTGCAATGAAATCGATTAATATTAGCAAAACGAAATTAGTATGTTTTGTGAGAGATTTCCAGATAAATGAAACAACCTTCCAATGGGATGAGTAGTTCCCTTCTCCAGGGCAGCAGCCACGGCAAGAGCTTCTTTCTCACAGCTTGGCACACAGCATGAAGCTTTTATTTTCCCACTGTTGCTAACATGTCCATGTATTGGTTCAATTGCTTTGCATGTGAATTCTCCAGTTGTTAATGTGCCAGTTTTGTCGAACGCAATGGTGTGACAAGAAGCTAGAGCATCCAAAACATGTCCACCCTTGAGCAAGATTCCCTGTCAAAATTAAATTATATATAATGGGAGTAAAGGAGTAACAAAAGTTCAATCTCACAAAAATTCACCCCCCCCCAAAACAAATATTGTAGATCATCATTAGTTCATTACTTCTAATAGAAAGCAGTATAGTATAGTTTGTTGCTACCCGATTTGAACAAAGCCAAAGCCAGATGCCCATTGTGTGACATTGGTTGACATCATTAAAATGTTCATAGATTTGAAATCACATCATGACATTTAGGCAAGTCAATCAGGTAATTTGCTGCGTTTTGGAACAAACCCATGAACAACTGAACAAGAACGAATCATTCTAGCATCTATATAACATACTAAATAAGATCGATAAATACCTTTCTTGCACAGGCACTAATTGCTGTAGCATATGCCAGTGGGGCTACAGCCAAAGCACATGGTGAGGCGGCCACCATAAGCCCCAATGCCCTGTAAACTGATCCTCTGCAAACTAAAAGAACAAATAAAATTACACAGCATATATATCAAAAGATCCACTCAAAATATACATATGCGTATCATGTACAACAAACAAATAGACAGGTGACCAGAGATTCATGTAGAAAACACAAGCAGTTTAAACTCAGGCGAAAAGCAACAATCTGTTTCAAGAACAAATTATTATATATATGCTTCCTTTTGTTTATATAAATTACGTTACTTTATTAGAATCAAATTTCAGGAAACCCCATGTACAAGGTGTACAAAAAAATCAAAGCGCATCTAATATTGCCCTGTTTGATGGCTATTATAAAAAGAAATTCGGAAAAATGATGTTTTGAATAGTGATTTTTGAATATCGCGTGGTTAAAAAGTAGGAAAACTTTTTGAGTTTATGTGCAGAATATTTTATTGGGTGCATGTGTGATTTAAAATGAGTATGAGAAATAAATAGTTTTAATTTAAAAAGAGTCAAAAAGGGACAGTAAAAGCATCCGTCCATGTACCTAACACACAGATAGATTTGTGCACCAAAAAATAAAATAAAAAGAGGAGCATCAAACTTCGGAACCCCCAGGATGAGTTATCAATCCTCGTAAAGGCTCTCCTATTTCTCTGTCCACACAACCAACATCAAACAAAGTGGTACCATATTCCACCACTATCGAAATAGCAAGTATGACCAGTAGCAGTCCATATAAATTGAAGATGTAAGATAAGAGGGTGTAACACCTGAAAATTTTAGAATAAAATTTTATTTGTTTTATATACTATATTTTTAATATTTTGAAAAAAAATGAGGACTAAAATGAAATAAGTTTTAATCTTATTTGAGTCAAATAATTATGTATCGATATAGTGATAAATGTTGATTTTGATAATGATAATCTTTTTGTGATTTGGATAGAATTCGATTGCAATCTTAATTTGACGAAGTTTAAAAGTAATCATAATTCTATTTTTTGAAATCAATTCTTATCCAAATTCCTTATATACATCGTTTTAAATTCTAATTGTATACAAACTCAATTGAAAATTTCAACTATAAATAGTGTGCAATTGTCCCACAATTCACTACCAAAGAATTTTACATGACAGCTTTCATATAAAACAGTTGTAAATTGCAAGTATATTTTTTTATCAAAAGCTCGTTTGATAAATCAAGGTAAGATACTTTTGTGCAAATTTTTTGTTTTTTTATGCTTTTATATTCAGTAATTTATGCATGAATTGTCAGTGGACCTTCGAATTCTTTATTAAGAGATAAGAGATCCTAAGAGAATTTAAGATAACCTAACATGGGTGTGTCGTTTGGTCACCGATATACTACATAAAAAAAGAGTGGTATGAAGTGTTTGTTTTATTGTATATAATTGTGTATGAAAATTGCACGTATTTTACTGGGTATTTTTAAATACTCTTACAAAATTTTACAGGTTAGTTCGGGTCGATTGTAATAGTGGCGGGATGGCTATACGATTACCAAAGGAATCTAAGAAATAAAACATTAAGTTTATTATCTTCTTCTTTAAATTATTAGTCAGTTTTATTTGTTCAAAGACAGTTATTTAATTTGTGACTATGTTTTCATTATGAATATTCCAATTATTTTTATTTAAAGAATATTATTTTATCACTCCACGAAAATTGAATTTTTGGTAACCCTCCGGTGTGTGTAAAATTTTGGGGCATTACAGAGGGCAACCACCACTTGGCGACAGGTGGATGGAGTCAGGAGACACCAGTGCAATTCATAGGGTATATATTGTGCAGAATGATTGATTGAGGAAATAGATCCATAATATACCTGATGTACTGAAAAATGGCCATTTGAATAGCAATGGCCCCAGTAATGCAACTGCAAATGATAGAACTACAACTGCTTTACTGTAATGCTCGCCAAACTTATCAAGCCATCTTTGAAGCCTTGGTTTACTTGATTGAGCTTCTTCAGTCAATTGCACAATTCTGCTCAGCATTGACTCTTTCCATGTCTTCGTTGCCTAAATTGAATTTAACAACTTAAAAACCAACGAAGTAAAATAGAAAAGCACTTTTCCTGGGCAGTAATGAGAACTAGAACTGCCAATGTAATCTATCCAGGGGTGATCAATGGAAAGAGGGCTGTTAAGAATCAAAATAAGAACACAAAATGCAATTATTAATTAAGGATCTCCAAGCATAAACTGAAAACCTAAAATCCTGTGATTGGAAGGGAAATTTCCATCACATGAACAATAAAACTAACATGAACTCACACTCCACTAGGCATGGCCAAAGCATGATACAAACAGCAAAGAGAAGATAGGCAGCGGAAATGAGCAATTTTCCATACTGAAACCACATGGTGTGAAATGGTGAACAATAAAAGACTTGAGATTGGCCTTCCCCGAACTATGGTTATCCATCCATTCCCCTTCTTGACATTATCACAGCAAAACTCATGTTAATAAGCAAAAAATAAAGACACAATTCTACATTTCAATCTGTCAGAGCTCCAAAATTCTGAAATTACTATTAAACAATACTCCCTCCGTCCCATAAAGATAACCCTACTTTTTTCACATAGATTCAGAAAATTTAGTTAACATAGTTGAAATAATAAATTTTACTATAATTTTTTCTAATATACCACTACATTAATGTAATCAATATTCAAGGTAATTAAATTATGCATTCAATATTCAAGGTAATTATACTATTCTTGGTACTAGTCATTGTTTAATGCAAGCATCAAATTAATTAACATTCCAAAGTCATCCAAAACAAATACAAATGAATAAATGTCATGGGAGATGAAATGATTTTTTGATTTTTAATTTATTGTTCCAAGTACAATTGAATAATGAAGTGGTTTATATTTGTAATAACAAAGCACATTAAATAGGGACATATTAGGAAACTAATATATTAACTACACTCCCAAATAAGAAGTATGACTATAATTTGGGACAGATGAAAAATGAAAACAAAACTATCTTTATGAGACGGATAGAGTAATATTGCTAAGTTCCTTCGATAGTAGTTGTTTTCCTGATAATCAACATCTTTTACATTACTCATGGAGCATGACACTTTTCACATCAAATTATAATTTATCAGTCACCATAGAGGAAGCAATTTGAGGAATGATTTAGCTCATTAAGAAGCATGTAAAGGGTAACTACATTCATCTACTTTTCCGAGTCAAAAGTTTGCATCGATATAAAAATTAAAAGAGAAGGTTTGTCAAACAAACTTCATGAGAATATTTCAGGAAAAAGCAAACAACATTTTTTACTGACCATTTTACTTTCCAGAAATTCTATGTCAATCCAATGAAACTGAAAAAATTGACTAACTAAAAATGCAAATAAAATCATGAATAATATTTGGTACATCCACAACATTTTTAACTTTAAAGATTTTATGATTCGTTGCAAGATAATTACGAAACAAATGAGTGAATGACATACGTACCTTAACAATCATCATACCATCAACATTGCGAGCACCACCAGGAATGCTGTCCCCGACTTTCTTTTCTACGGGTTTGACCTCCCCAGTCAAGTGTTCAATGGTAATTGTTGATCTACCTTGGAAGACTTCACAATCTACCGGCACTGACTGCCCATCATAAAAACCAACATTATGAATAACAAATTTTAGATGATCTTTACACAAATACAATCAAGTAATACTGAAAATGGCAGAGGCTACATCAACAAGGCCATGAACTTCACAGAGATTCAGTGTAAGAAAAAACTCCAATGAAGGAAACAAAATTTACATAAAACTCATATTCGATGTACGATTAAGAGATTGAGCCCCTGTTTGACAGATCTTTTTTGAGATTATAAGCTGGTCAAACTACATTTTAACCACACATTTCATTGTCCCACAACTTGTATCCACTTTTTAACCACTCGTTTCACGGAAACCCACCAACTTATAATCTCAAAAAGCCTTATCAAACGTGGCTGAAATAGGTTGAACTACCAACCACAGATTGCAGTTGCTAGCCTTTTCCAAATCATCAAAATATTAAATTTTAGGCAACATATTTACGGTTCACTACACAAAGAAAAGGATATGTTTGGAGGTTAAACAATTCAACACTTAAATCACACCAAAGCAAAAGCTCACATTGGCACGGGTAAATATAGAAATGACTTCAGAGAAAGCAGATAAGAAATAATTTAGCACTGACTAGTACTCCCACGCAGTTTATCGTCAATTAGCCCGTATAACTTTAGTCGACCCTCAAATGTACTTATCACTATATCTCTCCTTGTTTTACTCCAATCAATGTCAGCATTCATATCCCTATCACACCTAACTCATGTGTTTATTGTTTCTTGAAAACCCAAATTTATGTCAAATATACATAATAATATTCTATAAGACTCGATGTCCCTCTATGTGAGAGGTTCTCTCATTATATAGAACTAAAATCATAACTAAATATATTAAAAGTAATCTATCTATATATGGTACAATTTTAATGATAATATAATCGTAATCTTCGATGATCTCCTTAATCTTATTCAATCTCATTGACAATTTAGATCCCTTATAACATTACAACTGTTGTAGCAGACTAATAGAATTTCCCTTTCAGTCTTGTTTGATTACCCAAAATTCTAGAAGCACCATCCACTTTTTGACTAGTTGGAATAAAAAAACACTTACATCATCTCCAAAACCTTTCGCTTTGAATTATCAAGCTTAAGAGTCAAAATTTTCACAATGGTATTTCACGAATTCTAATCTTATTAACTCCTCATACTTGGTGTTACTCTGACTAATTTTCAACCTTTCATTTCACGATATTCTCTAGAAGTTAGAAAGTGGCATTGTAGTCTCATCCAGAAAGACACTCTCATTTGCCAAGAAAGAAAACCTACAAAATCTTATTCCATGTGCTTGTAATCAATTAAGAAAGCTTTATACAATGGGAAAGGAAAATTCCAATTTATGCATATTCATGGAGGATCAAAGCATTATTAGGGTAAAAAGGCTTAGTCTTTGGAAACTGATGTTCTATTCTGCAAGATCTAATCATATTTTAGATCAATATGTTACAGGTTCAGCACAAGCATAGTAATTCTCGGGAAAACTAGCACACTGATAAAATTGCAAGAGATTTCTATAAAGGAAACAGAAAATTAGTTCATCATAGTTTCTAGACACTTTGGGTATCTTTTTCATTAGTTTAGATTATTGCATGATTATAACATTCTTTAGAGCATGCTTAGAAAACTCTCATTATTACCACATACAACCTTTCTCAGAAAAATATAATTAACAAACTCTCAGGCGTTTAAACCACAATTGAGACGGATTAAACAACTTGCCCAACACCTTCGCCTTTTACTGTTGACCGTCATGTTCAGCAGGCTTCAAGGTGACTATAGGTTTTTTTTACCACAAATAATCTTTCAGTTGTTTATTGTCATGTTCGTGGCCTTATTGAAGTCGAGGAAGAGAGAGTTAAAGTGTGAGATGAAAGAAAATAAGTTGGATTTTATTCGTAAATTTGTAAGTGGAAAAGGGACTAGAAATGGACATCAGCTGGTTACAAAAATTAACCAATGAATAAGGAATTCTTATACGAATATTTTCTAGTCGTGACATAAGCATTTTCCAAATGATATTCAAGAGAACTCATGCTTGCATTCTCAATCTACTGAAATCAATAATTCAACTGGGTTAAATGTAATACAGCATAGAAGCAACATAACATTTGAGTTTAATTAACACAATATGCTAATCTATGACCTATTTCATAAGTGATGGCCAATTCAAGCCACGAAATATTGCATAAAATTGAACAGTGAAGATTAAAAGTTCATGAAACACAGACCTCGCCAGCTTTGACCAATATATAAGATCCAACTTCTAAATCGTTCACAGGAACTTCATAGTATGTCAAATCAGAGAAACTCGGCAACTTCCCATTCTTCACATCCAACACTAGTGCAGATTCAGGATGATTCTCTTTTAACTCCTCGACATCAATCCTAGACCGTCCAGTAAAATAATCCTCTGCAATGTGAGCCAAATTGAACATAGATAAAAGCAATCCACCTTCCAAAGCATTCCCCATAAACACAGTAGCAAATGCCGCAAGCGCCATAAGTACATGAATATTAATTTTGCCACCCGTAATATCCATTACAGCATCAAACAAGGCCGAAACCTATATTTTCAAAATATACGCTTAAATTAAGAAGTCAGGGTAAGAAGAAAGGGAAAATAAAAAATGCGTTTTCGCTAAACGAGCAGAAAATTTAGCTAATTAAAGTAATAATTACCCCCACAAGAGGGAAGGCAATCAAAGTGAAGGCTTGCTGAAGCGGCTTGACTGCTGGCTTGGGGATCAAGTAAGGGCAAGCTGCAACAGCTAAAAATAGAGCAGCTGAGCAGCAACAGAGCTCCAAATGTTCCCTCAAGAAATTAGCCAGGTGGGTCCATTTGACCGTCTTGGCAAAACTTAAAAATTTTTCCTGAAATTTGGTGAGCCGGACAGAACCGTCATTACTAGGACCATGATGGTGGTTATGGTTGTGGTGGTGGTGATCGTGGTGGTGATCGTGTTCATGGTGTTCATGGTGGTGGGTGGAGCATTTGATGACGGGAAATTGAGGGGTGGAAAGGAGGGAGCTTAGGGATGTGTGTCTATTACCGAAATTTTGGTTGACTTTGAGCTTGATTCTTCTGGTTCTGTTAAGCGATAGGTTTCTTGATATAATTAAGCTGGTGGGGAGATGGAGGGTTTCCATGACTGAGAATTTGGGGGTAACAATTTGAGAATTCAGGATCTTGATTTCATTGAAGAAATACAGTACAAATAATTATGGGATGTATAGATACTATAATGACACTATGTGCTCATTCTGAAAAACAATTGCATCATTGCATAAACATACACATTGTATATGTATAAAGAGTAAAGCTACTTGTACATTAGATTCAACATCAAGGTCTACATAATTGCTGACGTGACGAGAAATTGAAGATATTTTGAATTTAATTAAAAAAAAAAAAATCCAAAGCACCAAAATTAAACAATTAAACTAATTGTACAATGAATTTGTACAATGATTTATAGATCATTACCATTGAATTCAAAAACAATATTTCAAATCAATGGATATAATGCCTGCCAACTCACACATTGTCAAACTTATTGTCAAATATATTGTACAAGTAGCATGGTTCAAAATTAAAACCCCTGTTTCCCATTTTCTTCACATTTCCCCCCCATCCTCCCCCATTTCCCGCTTCCTTGTTCCCCCATTTCCCGCTCCCGAAGACGCCGGTGAATGAGAAGCCGGACCCAGTAGCTCGGATTTTTCGGTGAATGAGAAGCCGTCCAACAACGATCAACCCCGTAGCTCGGATTCGTAGTTTCTTCCAGTAGCTTTCTTCCAGTAGCAGTGCATTTTTTGGAGATCTTTTGATTTTGTAATGTAACTGGTGAAGTGCATGTGACAGATTTTTGGGAGATCTTTTAATTTTGTAATGTAACTGGTGAAGTGTAAATGTGTATAAAATCTTTGGTTAATAAAATCTTCTGCAGCTTCTGCTGGTTTATTGTTCTTCTTGCTGGTGTATCCTTCTTGCTGGTTTATTCTTTCTACTGGTTTATTGTTCTTGCTGGTTTAACTTTCCTTCTTAAACATCAAGCGGGAATGTTGTATAACTACACCAACATTTGATGGATGAAATTTAGCCACCTGTTAAGCGAGTTTTAATATTTTAAACTTTAAATTTGTTGCTAGCTTTTGTGTTAGATAATCAACCTCACACGTTCCCCTTGTTCTGATTTAAGTTTCCCTAATGTCTGGACTTTATCATATGTGAAAACTGACTAGATGAAAGCTGAGAACATCAACATCTTGGGTATTATACGGTTTTGACTGAATGAATTTTTTATTGAGTAAATTTAATCAACAGTCACTAAACTTTAATATTGTTACTACTTACTCACTCATCTTTAACGGGCTACCCAATGCTCACTCATCTTTCTATATAATTACACATCCATCACTCATTTAACTTCCATCCATCCAAATGGATGGAAAAATACACGTGGAAAATAGAAATCCTACGTGGCAAATATATTCTCTTAAATCTTGACAAATGGAACCCACAACTTTCTAATCCAATTTGCTTTTCAACCCATTTTCATGACATTTCTCTTCAACTGGATGTTTCTGATGTTTCTGGGAATTATTTTTATGGAAAGTTTCTGTCGGCAACACAGAATGCAGTCGCCTGAAGTATTTAGTTTTGGAGTTTAACAGGCTTCATGGAAGTACACCAGTTGGAATTGCTGACTTGAAATCCCAGTAGAGATAAGAAATTGCTAGTTTCTTCTCGAGCTGTACCTCAAGAATTCCAAAAATTTCAGATAATACCCTGCACCTCAATCTGCTGGGTAATCCAACTTACGTGTTCTCGTGCTGAATGTTTCTCGCCGATTTCGGGATATGTTGGACTAGAAAAAAGAAGAAGAGAGGAAGCTGGTATACGTTCGACAGTTCCAATCATGCTTTTTAACTCCAAGAATTCCAGATGATACCCTGGTGCATTAGATTGATCTCTTCATGGCTTTGGTTTATAGTTCAACTGATTTCAATTTGGGTTTTGAATCCACATCATGCTAATTGGAATTTCTGGTTTGGAGGGCTCTGGAACTTCTGGTTCTGGTTCGGGGGGTTGGGGATTTTGATTTGGAGATTTTGATTTGGGGTTAACACGAAGGGTATTGGAATTGAGGAAGATAAATGCGTGATTTTTGGTGATTTGGACATGGTTATCGCAGTCAACCCGCCACGTAGGATTTATGTTTTCCACGTGTATTTTTCCATCCATTTGGATGGATGGAAGTTAAATGAGTGATGGATGTGTAATTATATAGAAAGATGAGTGAGCATTGGGTAACCCGTTAAAGATGAGTGAGTAAGTAGTAACAATATTAAAGTTTAGTGACTGTTGATTAAATTTACTCATTTTTTATTTGAGATCTTATGTACTCCTTTTGTGAACAAGTCAAAGGTAGACACACTTTGATCTGGAAAGGTGCAAGCTAGTCTTCATTCTTGATATGTATATTGAAAGTAGTAATCTTGCCTTGAATTCTCCTTTCTTTGGAGTTTCCTATCCCTTGACTGGAAACAAAAGCTTTTGATTTAGTTTGAGGCAGAAAATATTGTTGCCAGTCTAACTTTGATCAATATGACAAGCATCAAAAGTGCTCTGGTTCATGAAATTGAATATGTTTTCTTTGAGTCAAACCAATTTGTTGTAGCATAGAATATATATGCTGTGAATCTGTCTGGTCTGCTTGTAAAACTTCAGAAAGTTGAAGAATGGAGATAATTTTAATGAATTAGAACATTAGGATTACATTGCCTTTCACCAATTCGCTGAGGCACGTATAGTTTGTTGATTGCACCAGAAATCATTATTAGTTGCTGGTTTAGTTCCAGTTAAAACATTGAGCATCATCACTGAGCAGCCATACATCTTTACTGAGGCATGTACAAGGGTTGAATTATACTTGAATCATACAGGCACTTGAATCAATCTGGTGCATCACATTTGTGCACCTCAACCAATCCAATTTTCAATAACCTCAACTTTTAATTTACACATAATATTGCCATCTACCAACACAGCCACAAAAATGAAACAAACCGAATTATAACATGATTCATTCATTCATTCAACAATACAAAGTTCATTCATTCAAAAATACAATGTTCATAAAGCCAATTAGGTATTGCTCCTTCATCGCTTTCATTCCGCTTCTTCCTTTTCGTGGACTGCAATCAGGCATGGTGTGTTGCTCATTCAGACCTTGTGAGCTCGACAATGAAGAATCACCAAGCAATGTCATCACCATAACCAATGGATACACAGTGAGGCACCAAAACTCCAGTCATAAGTGGCGAAAAATTCCATACTCCGGACTTCCCACACTAGAATAAGGAAAAACTCCACTCCCATACTCTGGAATTCCACTCCCATACTTCCCATACTCTTCCCACACTTCCCATACTCTGGAATTCTACTCCAGTCATAAGTGGCCAAAAATTATTCTTCATCAATGAAAATGAAATTGCTACATCAGATTACAGTGAGCAGGGGCTCACTGGAAGATAACCCCCAATTAAAAATGAAAAGGGAATTGCTCGCTGTTCATCCATTACGTGCTTAAACATCAAGCTGGGGCGATGTCATCTTCCTTCGTGGTGGGTGATGGCGATGGCGGCTTCCTTCGTGATGGTGGAGATGACGCGACCGTCGGGGTCCTTCCATGGAGCTGGGCGATGACGGCTTCGTGGTGGTGAAGATGATGCAATGGCGCTGGGAACGATTCTTCATTGGGAGCGATGGGCGATGGCGCCGGGAACGATTTCTGGTTCGGGAGAGAAGGGTTTCAATTGGGGGTAATTGGTTTGGCAGAGAATGATTTCGGGTTTGAAGGTTAGGGGTGTGTGTGATAAATTTTGCAACAATTCAAAATTTTCAAAATATCATCAGTTTCTCGCCACGTCATCAGTTATGTAGACCTTGATGTCGAATCTGATGTACCAGTAGCTTTACTCATGTATAAAACGCGTGGTGCCAACACTCCCTAAATGGGTAGTTTGGATAGTAGGAGAGTTCATGACGAAAATGTCCCTATATAATATACTCGGAATCAAATTTGAAAAGGGTTAATTTCACAAATGATCACTGAAGTTATCTAAAAATTTCAAAATGGTCACTGAAGTTTCAGAAACAGTCATTGAAGTTTGAAATTTCTTTCAAAACGGTCACTGAATTTTCAGATTTTTTGGCAAGTTTGAGGCAATTATTTGGCAACTTCCGATTTCGGATACCGTTGAAAAGCTCACAATGTCCTCTTCAATTACCACCAAAAATCTCCCCAAAACTCCAAGCGATTTGGCCGGAATAAAGCCACGAAGTCCGCAACCGAAAATTGTGAAAATCTGCCCAAACTTTCAGATTTTTTGGGCAAGTTTGAGGCAATATTTCGGCAACTTCCGACCACCAAAATCGTCGATTTCGGATACAGTTGGAAATCTCACAATGTTCTC